AACGTGGATATCTTGGCAAGCGACTAGGTAGAACAAGTGGTCAAGACCAGGATGCTATCGTTAATCGTTGACAAATTATCGCCAGTTGCTTATCAAAACTTTAGTATAGGATAAAAAATCGATGATCTTAGAAACAAGAAGTCGTGGAAACCATCGTTACTCGCAGACAAATTATCGGCAGTCGTTTACCGTCATTAGTTACTAGAAACCGTTAGAAACAAGCAAAGACTAGGATAATTTGTCAGTAAAGTCAAAATCGGAAGAAAGGAGATTATTCGCAGAATGGTGGGACTAATCTAAGTGGAAAGGTGTTGTAATTGTGGTAACATGCAAATTTACTAGATTAAGAAAAACGCCAGACAGGCAAATTACTTTTAAACAAAATTACGAAGCCCAAAGATATTCAAATCTACAAGAATTAAATCTCGGTACAAATTGAGACTATGCAAATGTTGATTAAAGAAAAAGGATATATAAGGAGATATTATGAAGCGAAAAATGATGATTAAATTATGATTTTACGAACTTAATTTTTAATTTTTTTTATCTTATTTTAATTTCTTATTTTAATTTTAATTTATATTAATTTATTTTGATTATGTTTTTTTCTTATTATTTAATAAAGATTTATTATCATTTTAGTTCTAACCTTTCTTATTTGACGAATATTATAGAAAAGTATATATAATCGAGGATATTAGTCTGATTTAATATCATTTTAGTTCTAACCTTTCTTTATTTGACGAATATTATAGAAAAGTATATATAATCGAGGATATTAGTCTGATTTAGTATCATTTTAGTTCTAACCTTTCTTTATTTGACAACGGTTCTAATCACCCAACCCTTCTAAATTCTTCAAAATGTTACATTTTTATTTGAACATAAAAACCCATGATTATTAACGAACGTCTACGTATGAATAATATTATAGATTATTGTTATTTTGCATAGAAAATGTTTTGTTTTTGCATAGCAAATTTTTTATATATAAACTCGCAATTTTTTATAAAATACAATCAATCGGATATTGGAAAATAAATAACTTGTAATCTTTTAAAGGGTATTATTAAAATTATAGTGAATATAATCGAAAACACCAAAATTCGACATTCAGTCTTGTTTTAATTAATTTAATTTTACTCATGACTCTTTCGGGAATGGTTAATAAATATTTATATAAAATTCTTAAATTAGGGAAAGCAGAAAAATTTAAAAGTAAACGATAAGGTAAAATAAATGAATACTTTTTCCAATCTGAATCGTAAGTCCATCATCATCATCAGAAGAAGCTAAATGATGTATTGGTAAAAATATTTTAATTAAATAAATTTACAATTCTCAGAATCTGACAAATCTTTAGATTCTTGAACCTCTAGGTCATGAGTAATAATTGCATTCCCCATTTTGGCCATCTTATAAATATTTCTAAACTTCAGCATTTCTTCGAAAATTTGACTTGAATTTAAATTGTAAAATTCAGATATCCTCGATATCTTCCTTAATAATTGATTTTTCTGCCATTCCCTTTGGCGTAAAAAATTATGTTTGATGTAAAAATTTCATTGAATCATCATTAAATCTTTCGTTAAACTGCATAATAATTAAATCGTGTGCAGCATAAAACACACCTATTTTAAAGCTAAAAAAAATTTCTATATTTAATGATGAAAGTATATATACCTCTCCTTATTGAAATGTTTGAAGTCTAGAACTTTCAAAATCAAAAGGTAGATTTCTCTCCTTCATAAAATCTTGCGCCTTTGGAAAAACATCCAAAAATTCAGTGTTATTATCTATTAGATTAAAAAATAATTAAGACAATAATTTATTTTATACTTCTCAAATTAATCAAGCAATCTTTTGCCAATTGAATTTGATTTATTGCATACCCTATATCCTTCGAAATGGTTTGCAATTTTGTACAAGCCAAACTTGTTATCAACAATATTTTATCCAAAACACAAAGTGATAAAATAAAATCAAATTTTTCTATTCTAAAGACTATAGCACTAGCGATAGTGGAAGTGGCAGGATCTTCAAAATCCTTTAAATTTGTTAAAGCTGCCCTCAAGGCATCATAAAGTTGAAAAAAAATTACAATAGCTTTATATGACGATAGCCAGCTTCTAAATAAAAAAAACATTTAAAATTTAAATAAATAAGGAACTATTACCGAGTGGTATTCTTGACGCGTAGAAATCGTTGCGATTTTTTCAGATCATTACACTGAAATTTTTTGAGTACCTCATATCTTTTTACACCATTAAAATAGACATAAATCTTATCTAGTATTCCTAGAACATTTCGAAGTTCTTTAATTGATTGGCATAATTGAACAACGATTATATTTAATCGATGACAATAACACCAAATAAAAGCTGCCTTTGGCCTCTGCTCTAATCAAGGCTTGCACACCATTGATTCTTTTACTCATGTTTGAGGCGCCATCATAACTTTGCCCAACTAGATATTCAAGGGGTAAATTCATCGAGCCAAGTCTGGATATTATATTATGCTTTATATCGAGACCTGTGGTATTTCCCGTACAATATATGTCAATCAGTCTTTCAACAGGCTTCGGCGTCTCACTATTTTCAACATATCTTACTATCAAGCTATTGCTTCTGATTTCGAAACATCGTATGTGCCATCAACTATGATTGAAAAGCACCTGTTAAATGTAATCTCATTTTAAATTTTTTTTATAACCATATTTTTCATGGTTTCAATGATAATGTTTATGTTATATATGATAATAGGTTTGAATATAATTTCGTTTTTAATCCCTTATTTTTTTTATCCTTTTTTCTTTCTTCATTTTGCTGTATATACATTTTTAGTATAGGTTCAGAATCTGCAATAAGCTTAATAAGGGCCATCATATTGCCTTCTTGTTGCCTGTTCCCTCAGAAGGCTTGGTTACGAGATATTAAATAAAATTTACTAAACATCGACCAAAATTTCCGTCAATATATTAAATTAAATATTAAGTGGTGGGGGGAGGGTCTTATTATTACATTTAGAAACCAGAAATCACATGATCATGATGGATGTAAAAAAAAGTACCCCCACTCAAATTTACTGAAGCAGTTGCTTCGGACCCCCTCCCCCCTCGTTGTAGGGGCCCCTGGAAGTACCAATAGTTAGAGTTGTCAAAATATATAATTTATTATATTAGGAAATTAGTCTAAGTATGTCAGAAATTAGGCGAAGCATCTATAACATTTTAACATTATTAACCATATTTAACCTTTTATACCATAGTTTGCATTTAGCTAGTAATATATCAAGAAATATTTTAACTTCCTCACAATAAAAATCTGCCAAATATTTGTTTTTTCTTTATCAAGATTTGAAATAGATTCGGAAAGATTCTGTGGTAATAATATTTGTAAAGTGTTTCCTACCTGATTAATCAAGAAACTTCCATTCAGAGTGACAAAAGTATCCAAGAGGGAGATATATTTATAATATTCTGATTGGATAAATTAGTAGGAGCGATGGGTCGAAGTAGACAAAATTAAATTCATGGAGCTATGATTTTGATTAAATAATGACATAATTTATGAAATTCATCATTTATATTTGTCTTAATTTCCTTAAGATCCAATATAATGCTTTCAGCTATTCGCATAATCTTAATCGAACCGATAATTTTTTTGTGAAATGTTTAAGTTAAGTTTTTCAATGAAAAGGTTTCAAATGATTTGATGGGAAATTTAATATGGTATATATATATAAAGCTAAGGAAAATTTAGAATGATATTCATAGAATAAATTAGTAATTATTTATTTATGTGAATGTGATAAATAAATGCAAATTGGAATATATATGCTATAAGAGGTAGGAATCAGTAATATTTTTGAAAAATATTTTAGCCTATATCTAAATTTTTTGGCTTGGGGGGTATTCCCCCTTCCTTACCCCTGTTGAGTATGCGCCTGCTACAATTGTTCAAGTTTTGTTTGGATAACATTATAAAATTATTGGATTTTATTTTCTGTTCTGATCTGCTGAAGAGAATTAGTTTAGTTTTAATAGAATCTTTATACCATATTTATATCTATCTATTAGTTTTTTGCAAAATATTTTTTATATTTTTATAAAATTTAATTTTCGAATAGAATATTTGACAAATCGAATCGAATGATTTTATTATTTGTACAAGACAATTTTAATATTTTATAAAAGTTGATTTGGGTTTACAAATTTCGAAAATATAAATTTCAAAATTATATAATAAAAGCTACTTAGCTACAATTAAAAAAAAGGTAGCGCGCTAACTATAGCCACCAAAAAAGATAGTGCCGCAACTTCGTCCCCTACTAAAATATTTATTAGTTGCAAATTTTTCCAATTGTTTGTTTCGTACCCCAATCAAATTGCAAAATGTAAGATTGGTCATATTGAAGATAAAATATAAGATGAACTTAGTGATAAAATCAGAACCATTATCCAATTTTGAATTACCCCTACAACCTCAAACTTTATTTGAATTGTTTTATTATGAAAATTTTGTTGTTAAAATAGATTATGATAAATAGTGTTAGAATTGAACTCGAAATATTATATTAACATGACTATTTAATTTAGCTTCTGTGAATTTATATTTTTTTAGCTTATATTTGTTGAAAAAGGCAATTTTCTTCATCTAAGAATACCACTTAAAAATATTTTTTTATTATTTGATTAATAATAATAAACAATCAAATATGCTTGTGCTCATGAAAGTACATATAAATTAATATAAACATTTTAAACACGCGAAATAGGAACTATAAATCATTAAAATTTAAAAATCACATTGAATCGTCGTGTTATTATAATATATGAGTATATCCTAATATGCATAATCACGGGATTAAGTTAAAATTATTTAAAGATATATCGAGAACCATTCCACATTCTATGTCAAATTTTATTTGATATTTACCAAGAAATAATTATTGTATTCTGATAACGCGGTTGATTAGATTTTGGTATTTTCAGGAATTGTTAGTGTTGTATTACAGATAAAAATTAAAACTATTTTATATAATTATTTCATTTCTACAGCAAAATTTTTGGCTTTTCCCAAATGTATTCCGGTTTGCCAAAATGCCCGTAAGTAGCGGTGTGAAAGTATATTGGTCTTTTTAAATCGAGTACTCTGTGAAAAAATAATATTATATCAATTAAACCAAATCATATGAATAGGATTAGAATAACGACTAAACTATGGCAAATTATCCGATCCGAACTTTGAACTCATGATTCATGATACATATCTGTCCGTGAAAATCAGAAGTCTGCCCGGGTTGGACAAAAAGTATTTTGCAATTTTTTTCTTAAAAAATTATTACCAACTAGGCCGAAAAAACAGATGATCAAACTTGAGTCCGGAGTGCAGACCCGTACAAGATCAGCCTTCTTGAGATGCGCGTCTTTCAAAAAAGACCGAATAATTTTTTTTACAATTTTTATGATCAAATTTTATTGTTAAAAAAAGTGAATATCTTTACCAAATATTTTTTACATATTTTTCAAAAATTGTATTTTTCTATTTAAAAAAGAAAACAAGGAGTCGCGTTCCAAGTTTAGCGTCTTTGGGACGTATCCCGTCCTAAAAATTAAAAATTGGATGGGACGGAAGTTTGATCATCATTACCGAAAAATCGGATCAACAATTTCAGCGAGCCGCGGATATCGAAGTGAAAAAGCGTATATTCGATATTTGCAAAGCCCTGATGTTCGGGAGGGTTAACTCGCTTAAAAACTCTTTATCAGCTGATTTCCTAAAAATAAGCATATTTGGGTTAGGACCATTGTTATTTTTGAAAAAAATGGACGTGCATGCCACCTAGAATAATTTTTCAATATAGGCCATTTACCGATAAATGCCACCTGCTCTAGTTATGAGTGGTATGATGACAAGGTTAATGTTTTTTCAAAATATAACCCGTTTTTATCAAGTGTCCGATATCGCAACATCTTCATTTTTTTTGAGCTGATTTAATATATGTAATTTAATTTTTTTTTTCACACTTGTTGACTAATCTTCCTTTTTTTACATATTTATTAGCTGTTATATTTTATTTCATATATCGTCAGTTAAGTATTTTAGTGTTCTATATGCATATTTTTTGCAAAATGCATTTTCTTCGATAAATCAAATCCTTTAGCCTATTAAAAATTAAGATTTTCGCCAAAATACTATTACTTAAATCTCGAGATTCCGCTAATAGATGTCCAAACCTTTCTACCATCTATGAGCAAAATCTCCAAGTTTGCGTAATATCTTATGGCAAAAATCTTGGGCCAGCCATTTAACAAACAAAGTAGATTTAACCTTCAAATAAAATTTTTTGATTTGCATAAGTCCATTTTGGTTTAAAAAAATAAAATAAGAAGAGGAATTAATCGTATATAACAGTAATCTTATTGTTTAAAAATAAATTCAAGGATTCCCTTTTATTATATACCTCATTCATTCTATACACGGCTTAAATTTAATTAAAATAATAAGCATCCATTCCTTTTTTGTCAATTCATTTTTTTTAAACAACACCTGTTTGTTGGGTTATAAAAATTTACAATCTCATAAATATAAAATAAATGGCATGTTAACAGCACATATATTATAATGAATTTCTAACTCATTTCTCTTACAAAATATTAAGTGCAACCAACGTTTTAGGTAATCTGTTCTATAAAATAAAATAGTTATATAAAGCATTTTCACCCAAGTGGATTGTCTTTTTAAAATTATTATATTATTCAGCTTGATACACATTTTTGTAGCAGATATTCATCGCACAACTAATTAAATTGAATGAAAAAGACAACAGAACTTAAAATAGATATTTGGGTCCAACTTAATTAGGACTGTGGCGAGATTTAATATCGGATCGGCGCCGATATTTAGCGTTTTCAAAAAATATTGGATCTGGTTGATCTTTTTTAAAAACCCGTCCGATCCGATATTTTTTTATTGTTTATTTTATAATTGTATATATAATTAATTTTATAAATAATTTCATAATAATGTTTAGAATTTTACACCATTTCTGCAAAAAGAAAAAGATTTTAACATATCTAACGAGTTACATTCAGTTAGTGTAAACGGTTCGATTTAACCAATCTTAAAAACGATTAACTCAAAATTTGGCCAAGAGTAAATTTCCCATGCTTAATAATTTTTCCCACAAATATCCGAAAGGTTTGAACTTCTATTGGTAATATTTCGAGGTATAGGTTAAGTATATTTTGGTTAAATTTTTGATTTGCCCTTTTTAAAAATCGGCTAAATGAAGCTGTTTAACAACACACTACATTCATCCATAAACATTGCAAATATTTTAAATGAGAATATTAACTTATGAAAAATAAAATAAAATACACTTAATCATACGTGAAAGTTAGTTTTTTTAAAGTAGAAAATATTGATATATTCATGACATTATACAAAGATAGAGGGTAAATAGAAATCTATATAAATATCGGATCGGATCGGTGATAAATTTGTGGATCGGTAAGCCCTAAACTCAATATATCAGAAATTGACAAAAAATCTCAATAGATTAAAATTTAGATATGAGAAAATAATTAGGTTTAAAATGTTAATTATCTTAAAATGCTTATAAGAAAACTGCATTACTTTTTGTTTGCTGGAGAGAAAGGTGAAAATCCCTAATAAATTTTATTTTCATATATATATAACCATTGCGTAAAACGGGAATTAATTCAAAAAAATACACATCTCCCAAATAACAATAATTTATAAGCAAAATTATATAAATTAGATTTTATAATATCTTGTGTGTGTGTGTGTTTAGTTATATATAACATCAATAAAAAATATTTTAGAACATAACGTAATACTTCTTGTACTGCATTTAGCGTTGTAAACTCAATATTAGAAATAATCATATAATATAATGAGGACAGTAAATTATGGATGGTGCTCGATGATTAAAGTATTGATTATATGCCAACGTAATTGGGGGGGGGGGAGATGACTCAAAATATTCAATTAGAAAAAATGTTTTTTTTAAATAACATCCCTCCAACAAGCAATAAATTTTTTTCAATGTTCAATAAAATTATTAACCATACAAAATTTTTCAAAAAGAATAATATAATAAATATAGGGAAATATTCAAAAAGTCAATTCACTGGGATCATTTAAAATGTTATAGACTATATGGGATCAAATCATAATCTCCCAAAAATATTTTATATTCAATAAAGAAATTTTTTTTAAAATCATTGGGCAATTTGTTTTATTTTTGTATATAAAAAATTTTTGCGCGGAAAAATTTCATGGGGGAAGTTATTTTGGAAGGATAATTTTTATGAAAATTTTCATTATCTTGTAGTTTATTTAAAAAAATAGATAATTGAAGCCAGATTAATAATATATACTGGATAATTTATATAATACATAATAATCAATGTGAATAATAGTGTTATATTCCCATAATTACTTTAAAAAAATAATTTTAAGCTTTAAATGTGATTGGTTTGATTTTAATTCGTCAGTTTTTTAGAAATTTCCCAAGGAAATTCTTTGGAACCAAAGTGTCCGAATTTACTGGTAGCGTGGTATATGGGTCTGGATAGATTTAGTTCTCTGTAGTTAATTTATTTAAAGAAATTTAAATGATTTATTTATTTAAATCATTTTGGTTTTAAAAAATTAAACTTTACTTTTAGTAAGCAAGAACAATAGAGCCTAAATAAAACTCCTTAAAAGTAAAGTTTTCAAAAACAGCTGTGGCAGACAATTTGTCGAAGAGTAAAAAAATATGATATGAGATATCTCAAGTTTGTTAGTAGTTATTTTTATTGGCGTTAGTGTGATGCGCATGTTTTAAAAGCATAATTAATATAATATTTTTAAATAACAAGTTAGAAATTTCAAACAGGCGATAAAAAAAGTGCAATATTTTCGTGAGTTAGGGTGAGCCACGTGATGGAATAAAAGTTAAGATTTCGTAGATCAGGAAAAGGGGATCAATAATACTTATCGCGATAATGAATGTCGATTTCTCATTATTTAAGAAAGTATCATTTTTTGTTGATTTATGTCACCATTAATATTTAAATAAACTAAATTTATTTTATATATAAAATAATGACGATATGTTAAGTCTGAAAAAGGTTATCAATCCATATATTGGTGGGGGAGAAATTTTTTTGCTTTAAAAAACACGAACCAGCATTTCATCAATTTACAGGCTTTTGATGATCGTTAGGCATTGAGGTAAGGATTCATTTATTTAAGGTTTCTCCGAAAGTGTGCTGTATAAGATTTCGACTAAAAATAGAGCAATTGCACAACTATAGTCCGTACTGATTACAAGGTATAGATCAAGACCCAAATGCGAAAAGAAACAGATTGATTTCCTTTTTTCATCCCCAACGTAAAATTACTCACAATATTTTATTTTTTTTAAAGTATAATCAAGTATAAAGAGCGTCATGCTCCCCAAAAAAATTGGTCTTGAAGAATTCATATTTTAATTGATGGCAGCAGATAAGTAAATAGAGGGTATCATAGATATCAACTTGGATATTATTTTCGAAACGTCTCTCGCGTTTATTTTTCGACACAATTCCCTCTTTATTTTTTCGTGGTAAATGACCTTCACAAATCGATTTTATTTGTGTGAAATTTAAATTTAATTATATCAATAGTTTTCTATACTCCTAAGCACCCAAAATCAATATAAATATAAAACAGTAAAATAAATATCTATTAAAACCTATCATTTATTATTGTAAGGTTTTATTTAAACTCCATTTCGAACACTGTGTATCGACAAATACATGTCATTTCGACCAAGAAGTTGGAACTTGAGGTCTGCATTGGGCGGGGTTTCGGCCCGCCCGCCCACGTCCGCACATCTAAGTGGGCATGGAAAAAAAATTTAAGAACGGGCAGGCGGGCGGGTTAAAAGATTTTCTAAACTATGGGAAGATGGAAATTTAAGCAATGGGCGAATGGGCTAAAAAATATTAATATCATTTAAGTAAATATTAATAAAAAAAATGGTTCTTATGAACTTTTTGGATAATAAATATTAAAATGTCCTTTTTTGGTATCATTAAAACTCTTTTGTATATTTAAAACTACTTTGGTGGAAACAACAAGAGATTTTTCAGAGCTATCAAGATTAGCAAGAAAAATATTGGCAATTCCTGCAACTAGTGCTTCTTCTGAAAAAGAATTTAGCATAGCTGGAGTTTTTAGAACAAAGAAGAATGTGTTTGAATCCAGAAAGTCGATTCATTTTTATTTTCGCATTATAATTACATATAATATCTTTATATTTTTTCATAAGTATTTTATTTGATCAAATAAATTATCCATACATAATTTAAATTGAATATTTTTTTAAGAGTAATTTCCATAATTATAAAACTTCTTGTAGAGGTGTAATGCTGAAATAGTTTTATTAGATACTTAAAAAATTAATGGCCATAATTAAATTTTATAATAGCGGGTTTGGGTTAAAATTTTTATAAATAGTGGATGGTTGGTAAAAAATTTTAGACTAATGGGCCGGCGGGTAAGGAATTTTAAACTAATGCGCGGGCGGGTGTATTTTTTGACAAGTATGAGCGGGCTGGAAGCGGGCTAAATTTTTTTAAATATTAAGTGGGCAGGCTTATGGTTCAAAAACCAGCCCAATGCAGACCTCTAGTTGGAACTATACAATAATCAAGATATAAATCTATTAATATAAGGAGATGAGTATTTCGCCTTTTATTTAATTCTTTAGTAATCTCGCCTCTTCATAATTATATAATGATTATGTGATATCTTTTTTTCAGTAGCAAAAAATGTTAATGGCGTGTAACAAATAGATGGTGTGGGGTTAGTAATAATTACCAGGAAAGGTGAAAAATAAAAGGTTTTTTTATAGCAATCTAAAATTGTTGATTTTTTTTTAATAGCAGCAAAAAAAATTATTAAATATTACTGGCAAAATTATAAGCATTTTTGAAAAAAAATAAATAAATAGCACTAATGAAACAATTAAATGATCGAATTTGGGCTTATCAGGAAATTAGTATTTAAAAATTATCATAGATAACAAGTTAATATTAAATATGTAAATTAGACCCATATATTTCGCAACTAATGATGCGTTAAATTATTACATATCAAAATATAAAATCGAATTTCGGCCGATCACACTGCAAAATCACTCATTTTAAAGATAGGTTATTTTTTGTAGAAATATATTTATAGGTCCTCTGCCATCGCCTAATTTTAAAAAGGTCACTTAAGAGGTTTCGCGGTATGACCGATGGATTGCTTTTGCGTTTATTTAAAGAACGATATGTTAGGAGATAAAAAAACAATTTTTTTTAAAAAAAAAGGTGGTCATAATTTCATGGTTGAAGCAATATATATAAATAAAGAATTTCCTTTTTTTTCCTGATAAGCCAAAAATAATAGATAATCATAACTATTTTTTTATAGATTTTGACCCAAAAACATTTCCAATCTTCTATTATGATCCCTAAAGCTTGATGTGACCTAAGATTAATTCCATGAGATTTTTTGATCACCCAATTCAAATAACGACTCATTTTTTAAATTATCGTAATGTTAGTATTATTAACATTTCATCTTCAACACCTAATTAATGCCGAATTTATTTTATTATTTTCCCTAACCTGATAATGTTGCCTGGCCTAAGATCAAAATTTCTCTTGACAATCTCCAGCAAATCGGAGTCGGATTTTTTAGATGTCCCGAAAGAAAAGACGGTTATAGAGAGAGGTTCGGCGATTCCTATGGCGTAAGAAACCTGAAAAATTTTAAGGCATATAAGTAATAGAATTGCAACAATCAAGTGGCCATATAATAATTAAAAATATATATTAAATCTAATAAGCTAATCAAAGGATTATCAGCTAAGGGGTTATTAAATTCAAGACATTGATTGTGCTATAAAAAACATATATATTCAAACCTGAACAAGCACCCTTTTACAAAGTCCGGCTTTGACCAGCGATAAGGCTACCCACCTGGCAGCATAAGCAGCAGATCGGTCCACTTTGGTGTAGTCTTTGCCCGAGAATGCCCCACCTCCGTGGGCACCCCATCCCCCGTATGTGTCTACTATTATTTTACGACCAGTCAGGCCGGCGTCGGCCTTGAAAATAAAAGAATTTAATTATAGTTAATAGTGCTGTAAAGTAACGTCGGTGAACGTCGTTACCTTTTTGAGGAAAAGGAACTTCATCCATTACTTATTACAAAAGGTAACGAGTAACGCATTTCTTTTTTTAAGTAACTGTAACGCAAAACGTTACATTAAATTTTTTCATAAAAAATATGGAAAAAATATTTTTTAAATTTTATAAATAATTTAAGACGAGTCTTTAATTCAGATCAACTATAAAAATTCTTTATTTTTATTTTATTTATCATATTTTTGTTGTTGAATTTTATACAGTCAAAATTGTTAATCTAATTAATATTGAATCAATCAAGGTATATGTTAATTTTATATTCTTAAATATTATAGTATATTTTATAAATAATATAAGTCAATAGTACTTATTTAAGTGATGATGATTTTATTCTGCCCTACTATCCCCATTATGAAACATTTTTTACACTTCTTACTCAAAAATTTTGAAAATGTCGAGTGGAGCACTCCAATTGGCAATATATTTATATAAATCCTACCATAGGTCCCCCCAAAATAAATTCACCCGCTGGATTGATTCTCAAAATAGTCTGCTGATCAAGAAGACGATCCGGGATTACCACTTTAATTACGAGCTCCGTGACGTCATGTCGAACTTTCTCCAATGAAGTTGCGTTATCGTGCTGGCAGGAAACGACTACGGTGTGGACGCGACGCGGAACGCAAGATCCGGCTTGCAAAGAGTACTCTATAGTGACCTGACGAAATGTCCGATTAGATAATATAATTAATTAGATAATAATATAATTGTAGTTAGGTGAAAAGAGGCCTCCATTAAATATAATTTATATTTTTCATAAAAGGGATATTAAATATGCCGTGAAGATAAATAGCACGAGTAATAAGTGTTCCACAATCCGAAATTCGGTAGATGATTCATTTGATTTATAAAATTAAACTAAATGAAGGCAGTTTACTATTTTTTGTTTCGAATTGTGGGGCGCACTAAATAAAATGTCAAATATTAGAAACGCTTAAAACTGAATAAAAATCTAAGATAAACATTCTTTAAAAAAAATTCAATATATTCTTAAAACGTGATTGAAGAAGTTAGATAATAAAATTAAAAAGGTAGCAAAAAACTAAAAAAAAAAATTTTTTCTTTATCTGAAGGGTAAAAATATTTTTTTTTATTTATCTGAAGGGTAAAAATATATCGTAGAAAATGATAATAAAAAACAAAAATAAACGTGAAATATTTACCAAGATCAATGTAATTTTAATTTTTAAAAACAACATTAGAGAATATTTCATTAGGGCTGGGAATTTTTTTTAAAAAAAAAATTTGTATCTCATGCTAATATGTAAATAAAATTGATGTTTATTAATTAGTATAGCAAGAACGATGACCTGTGATTTATATTTCTTCTTTTAAATCAAAAACAATTTTGGTAGAAAACAATTATAATAATTATTATATCATATCAATGAATACGCCATGCAAATTAAAATAGAAGAAAAAATTAATTCAGCTTTTGATTCAAAAATTATGATTAGTGAAGGAAAATCAGGACGAGCTCCACAATCTAAAAAAAAATCAAAATGTGGTTAGCAGCATTCAGATCGAGTTAATAACCCCAAATGAAATCTAGTTACTCCTTTTATTTGATAAGATCTTTATAAAAACCAGTTTTATTACTTGTGCCTTGGAATCGGGTCGAGACCATTTGAGGGTTCCGTTCCGGCGTAACTCGGAAAGCTTTTTGTTCAAGTTGTGGGCGAGCACGAGTGTGAGGGGCATGCATTCCTCCGTTTCGTCTAAAAAGTATTTAATTAAGTCACTTGATAAAGAAAATATTTTCTTCTAAAAAACACCGAAAATATTTCAATTTATAAAAACACCTAGCTAATAAAGTAATCATAATAATTTAAAAGGGATGAAATGGGGTTATTTATAACAAACAAATTATTACCTGTGGCGTATCCAAACATAATCCCTTGGTCGCCAGCGCCGATATTCAATTCGTCCCTTCCTATTTTATTTTAGAAAAAATAAAATTTGTTTTAATTTAAAAAAAAAAAAAATCATTACTACACATTAGAGATGGCGAAGTTTTTTAATCACTCATAAAAAAAATCATTACGAAGGGCAGGAAAACTTATGTAAAATATTTCACGGGTCGACCGGGTAAAAGTTATTAAGGGTTGAGCCGGGCCGAATCTTTCAAAAGTTGCATCAGATAACTTGGGAGCCAAGCAGCCCTCTATTATAAATGCATATCGGTTAACTGTTTCATTTCACAAATATTGTATTTTTTGTAAATACTTTATTCTATTTAAAAATGTAATAGATATCTAATTATTATACCTAAAAAAATTTTACAATGGTAGCTTAATTGTTTTTCTGAAAAAAGAAGTATAATTAATCTGGAAAATCTATTTTATTTTATTTTTTTAAAAAAAAATTTCCCAACCTTGTTTGTAAAGTCTTCAACTTTGTGGACTAAAATATTAAAAAACTTTGAAGGATAAATTATACCATCTCTTCTTGATATTCGAGAAATATTCTGAATATATATAAGAATCTTCTTGTTTTTTTAAGAGTGTATACTTTATTTTTTGATCAATAAATTCATCAAATGAATTGTTTATTCATTTATTTTAATACCTTTTCATTTCATGTTTTTATATCATTTCAAGTTATCAATAAAACTTATCGATTTCATTTTTAAATATTTTTATTGATTATTTATTACCTTTCAAAAGCACCGAGAATTATTTATCAAATCGCAAGTGTTAAATAAAGGGGTTTTTAAAAAAAAAATTATAATTTTTACAACTAAAAATGTTCAGGTCCAGCAATTAACTTAATACAAATTGTTTTATCAGAAAGTATTTGTTCTCCAATTAACCTTTTTATAATGTCTATATTATGATTATTAAAAATAGTGTTGACCAGATTTGATGAAAAACATTTCATATTTTTCAATTTATTTGAAAATAAAATTATTTGGCTTGCAAAAAATTGTCAAAATATATCAATTTTTATAAGTTAAATGATTTTATTTACAAAAGAATTAAAATTTATGGAAATGTTTTCCATTAAATCTGCACAACCCTATATATTGAGAAAAATTATAAATTACAACAAAGTATGTCATTAAAAGCAGTTTACCAAACAAGGTACGGTACGCATTAGCATTAATTAAATGTTAAAGGTAAATCTTCGTTCGTAAATTTATTAGGTTTATCATTGATATAGGGGCAGGTCGGGTTGTGAAGAGATTTGATGTAATGTTTCCTACTCACAAATTCTTCCGGATATTGAAAGATCTGTAAGTGGGACAACGATTTACTATCGTGTTAATAGCCAAATATATCTGGAATCTATCAGGATGCTATATTAATCTTTACTTCCTTCAAACTTAATTAAATTAAACCAGAGACTTCTGTCCGGGGGCTTAAGGATATGACGCCATACGGTCATTGAAATTGATAGGGTGTGAAAAGTTATTAAGAGATATATGGTCATTGAAAATGATGAGACGCGGAATGTTATTAAGAAAACGCTACCGTCATTCGAAAAAAATAGGAAAGTTTAGATAATTTTGATCTGAATTTTTTTTCTTCTATTATTGTTGATTTAAGGGGGCAGAAAGAGTAGGGTAAAATTTGTTTAAAAACTCTCATTACTTTCATTGGGCCATTTTATATATAGTACTCTCTCAACCTTGTTTTACAATATATGTATGCGTCGAAAGTAAACGTCAAAAAAAAGAATATCTGATCATTTTTTACAATGATAAAAAGATAAAGATTAATTTCAGAAATATATTAGTATTTGGTTCCGGGCATTTTAAAAATTTCGTGTTATAATAGTAAGCCTAAAACGAATTATTCGTTATTCAATTCGCATTTTACGATTAAGATAATGAAAAAAAATATTCGTCGAATAATAGTCTTTTTATTATTCGAAATTATTCGTATTTGGAATTTTTGGACATTTAATTTTCGTAAGTGAAAAATAATCAATTTTTTCATGGCAAGCGGAAGATAATTCCCCGAATTCTGAGGAAGGGAATTATATTTGAATATTTTTTTTACCAAAGGCATGTTGAACGGATTAGTATATTTTATTCATTCTTTATTTGGATCGAGACGGTTACATTTGGGTTATAATTATATATTTTTAGAATCGTAATTTTCGGAAAGCGTCTGTAGCCTAGTCAATAAGAACGTGACTTGCCAATCTTATAGTTTTGGGTTCACTAGTAAGGATAATATATAGTAGATCGGAGATGCTCATGTGATTTTACCATTAAAAATGGATTTTATTGCATTCTAAAAAATAATTTGTCAATAAAATTTTTCTATGTCGACTTGCCAGTGAACTTACTACGGGAATTTTTTTCCGCAAAATTATCTTCCGTGATTCAAATTACCTACGGGTTAAATAATTTAGGTCTTTTTTCCTTTTGCATGTTATTTATTATAATTTCATTTTCTGAACTAAAATTTATTATAAAGATTGAAAAGAAGGAAACAAAATAGAACATATTGAATTAAATATGCATAATTATTCAATTAATTTTTTAAAAAAATATTATGCATATATTAATTGATTAACGTATTATTCCGCTGTTTCTCTATTGAATTTTCAAAGTAAACCTGGATAAGAGATAACGCTAAGGTTAAAATTTTTAAAGTATTGAAAGATATTTGTAGAAATGACAATGAATCTGGAAATGTTTGTGGTGATGCATAAAATCAGAGATCTCGATGGGCCTTAATATTTTGGTCAACCCCAGCCCAAGCCCGTCGTAAAAATTTTTAGTCCAGGCCCTGTTCATATATAAAAAATTCCCAGGCTAATAATAAGTTTCAAAACCCGACCCAAGTCCATAGCCAAAAATTTAATTTATCGTATTTAATAAAAATAAACAATATTTAAGTGTATTAAAAAACACAGGCCGGACGGAAAATAACCAGGCCCATGTATCGCGGGCGGGCTCATGAATATCCCTGATCCAGATCTATCATATCAAAATCAATTACCTTCTAATCAATCTGAAGCTGAACCTGTTGTAAGACGAAAAAATCCTGACAAATGAAATCATTATGTTTATAATCTTTGCGCCTTGCTCAATTTTTTTAAATGTTTCTTAATGGCCTATCAATGAAAAAGAAATATTTTATATCAAAAATTTCATAATGAAAAATATTTTCAGACTGCAAAGAACCAATTTTCAATCCGAACGCACGCCTATAATTTTTTTCAAAAAATTCGCCCGCCCATTTATTTAAGAATTATTTGATTGGTTAGTTTGCATCTTTATCTATCTTTTTTGTCAAAATTTTACTTTTTTGGTAAAAACACTTATGTAACTTTTATGCATAAAAAATATGATTTGAAATTACAAATTTTAAAAAAAAATTTTTTAATTTTATGATCATAAAAGATTTTTTGCTCTAAATTTTAAAAAATCTTCAAACAGAAAATAAATTTAATTCGCTAGTACCCATTGTTTTAATACATTTTTTACTCACCCGCCAGCACAATGTTTAAATCCTTTAGCTCGCCCACCAGCCTATTACAAACTTCTAGTGAATATCCTATATAAATTTTATCAAATTAAAGTCAATATTTTAGTATTAATTTCATAAACTATTATTTAAAAATTTATATAATTTTTCCAAAGGTCATAAAAATCATAAAAATGGTAGTTAACTTTAAAATGCAACAATATTATAAATTCATAATTTAAAGCATAAAGAATAAATGTAAATTTATTAAATTTCTATATTTTTTTAAAAAAATCAATAAATCACTGGCTGTAAGATGGCATTCAACCAGAGTTTGAAATGCTTCTTCAAAATAAAAAATCTTCAAGGCTTTTGATCTCTGAAGATTTTCTTATATAAAGATTTTTATGAAAATGCTCGAACAAGTTTTTTGATCAAATTTTACCTAAAATTCCAAGGTAAAAAATCTCTCTTA